TTTAACCTTCCTAATAAGGCTAAGAATTGTGCTATTACTAATTCCCATTCTGTAAATGAGAAAATTCATGCTTATAAATGTGCAACAAAATATAGCTAGTAAAAGCTACATTCCTCTCTACACTGCATAAACAGCATTAAATATTGTTTTTATTATTACTTACACAGAATAGTATATCTTAGAAAAATTAACTTGCCCAAAAACATTAAAACTCATTACAAAAATAATTTCATTTTTCATTGATTCCAGTTATTCCCACCCACTGCTCGTTTGGAAAGGATTCAGAAAAAGAGAGAGAATGTAAAATTTAAGGCAGTTACTTAGTGTCTTCATTGGAAGTTCCAGTGTAAAGTGGGAACTATTCATTAAAATGCACATATATATACATATTTTAAATTATCTGTGTTTTGCATGTATTCTTTCTGACACAATATCTCACATTGCCAGTAATAATCAAGAGGATCATGGCATTCATATTTAGCAGTGGTATAACAAATCTAAAAAAAAAAATCTCAACATTTAATTAATAACTGTGAAACCTTATAAAACTGCTTGAATTTTGTTTCATAAATTTTAACATGAAATGTAGCTGCAAAATGTGCTTGATAAGACTTTTTTAATTTTTAAAATTTTTGAGTCATTATTTTTTGGTGCTTTAGTTGCTGTGAGGATTCTAAAATATCTAAAGCGTACAATATGATATCCAGAAGAAATCCACCATATTGTTTAACTCAATCACACTTACAGAACCTAACCCAGCTAGCATTTGAACTGAGGCATTCAGAATCTATTCGTCAGGTCCCTTTTGATTAAAAGTAGCAGGAAAATGACTCAAATGGGCTGGAAACAAAACAAGATTGTATTAACTAATTGACATATTCAAGGAGAATTTTGTTGTTTTTGGTGGTTTTTTTTTTTTTGCATCGACGATGACTTGATCTAGGCATGGGAAGAATTCCAGGTTTCTTCCCTCTGTGTTAACTTCGGCCTTCAAAGATACTTTATATCCCACTGCCTCATAAAACCCCAATGAAAAGAGATTCTCTGTTCAATAGAACTTCCAAAAGCAGTCCCAGGATTGAATCTAGTTGTCTCTGATTGGTTTGTCTTGCTTCCCGTGCTTGACCATTCAAGGTGGTCATGTTGTACAAGCTTCTATGTGCTCTCTCCTAATGCCAGAGGTGTGGTGAGCCCAATTCAAGCCAGATGAAGGAAAGATAGGGAGGATTAGCTTTTCTAAGAAAATTTAAAATGTAAGCAAAAAACCCCCACAAATGTCCTCTGCAGATTTAGAAACCGAGATACTGATTCTTATAATCTTCTTCAAAAATAAAGGCTCTTATGTTAGAACCTAGTACACAGAATCTTATAACCTCCTCCATAATTGAATGGTTTATGGAAGACTCATCACCACAAACACAACTGGGATAAAAAAGAAAGAAAATTCTAGACGATTTTCTTTTTTAAGTGAGAAACTTTCCTTTCTCTCTTTATCTGCATGACTCTTCTACATTTCCTGCCTTTTGCTATTATTCTGGTGTAATTCTGGCCCTATAGAGTAATAAGCTCTCAAAATATGTTCCACAACTCATGGTTTTTCACAAGGGTTCTACCACTCATTTTCTGGTCTTATATGCCATTTATGTTCAATTCTACAGACTTCCATTTCAACATGTGTTTAAGGGCTATGTAGAAATACCGTATGAGAAATAGCTAAGGATTTCTTATAGTTGGTATTATAAATAAGTAAGTAGCACATGATTGGAGTCTATTGGAGATTCCAACTAATTGGATTTTCAAGAGGCAGACCCTGAAAGGAGAATTTTTTGAAAGTGACTTATTGGAAGAGTTCTTAAGAGGAATCCATAGGAGAATGTGGAAGTGGGGCAGGGAAAGGAGAGTAGCCAGGCAGAGCATGAATCCCACAGAAGGTAAATTTGGCTCAATCCAGTAGAAGAACTAATTCAGATCACACCTAGAGTTTTCCCACTTCAGGGACATGGAAGCTGAAGTATTTACACCCTGGCACCCAGTCAGTTATTGGTTAAGGGCTGCCTCTTAGGGTATGTTAATTCCTAGATGCTTTTAGCTCTCTCTTTGTGAAAGTAAAGTTGGCTACAGTAGCTTGAGGACAGTCACCACAAAGCGATAACATGTTGAGGATGAAAGTACAATGTGATCTGGGGTGGATAAGGGATTAGAAAGAACATGGGTCAAACAATGACATTTTCTGCTACACTATGCCTATTGGAAAAGTCTATCTATAGAGGATACCCCTTTGTCCCATCAAGGGAAAGCATGTTTGTCCAGTGAGACTTCAGTGTTATCACTGAGTCCTTTTTCTCTGGGAAAGTCAGAATATTTGGGATTGGTTGGACTTGATCGCTTTGCCTCTACACAACTGAGGCACTTTAAATGTAGATCCACTTTTGCAGAATCCCAAATACTTAGGCTATAAGGAGATGATCATACAATAACAGTGAGGTCAGTATTGCCATGTGATTAAGGACATAACTTCTGAGGCAAGTAAACCTGAAAATAAATCCCAGTTCCACCTCTTTTAGCTATAGGATAAGTAAATGAAATTATATGTACATATTATATACATATATAGCAGCTGGCACAGTTTTTGGTTAATAAAGGGTAGCTATTTGTTATGATATTATTACAATTATTATTGTAAAAAATTTTAATTACTTAGGTATTTATTTATGTAAATAATTGACTTTGTCTTCATCAATATAAAGAACTAAGATCTAATTAGGATAAATACTCGATTTTTACTTAATTATTTTGTCTTAATGTTTTAGGTTAAAAGCTTTTTCATTTGGGTACTTTGCATGTATTTGTCATAACCTCAGAGATGCACTGTCATAAAAAGATAAAAAAGGATCAGGAATTCACATAAGTATGTGAGCCTCTATTTTTCTCTTTGTAAATAAATTTTTCTAGAAAATTTTTATTACACTAGTAATGCATGCTCATTGTAGGAAAATAATAGAAAATAGAAATAAGTAAAGAGAGGAAACTAAAAGACATTCACATCCCAACTACTCACAGATAACAAGCCTCTATTTTTCTCTTTGTAAATAAATTTTTCTAGAAAATTTTTATTACACTAGTAATGCACGCTCATTGTAGGAAAATAATAGAAAATAGAAATAAGTAAAGAGAGGAAACTAAAAGACATTCACATCCCAACTACTCACAGATAACAACTCAAAAGTGTTCACATATGCAATACATGTATTTTTAAAAACTGAATATTACCACATATACTATAAAAAGATATTCACCAGCCTTTGTGACTATCTTTCTATGTGAACAAATGTTTTTCTAGAATTTCATTTTTATTGGTTTGATATCCCATAAAATGAATGAATAAGAAAACCAATTATATGAAAATAATTGTTGCCAGGAATATGCCAATTTATTAAAATGTCAACCTAAATTTGTGGTAAGTAGCAAGGCTTTTTAAAAGGACAAAAACTACATTTATAATAATAATAATTCTTTTTATTCTGTGTTTACCAAAATTCAAGTTATAATGGCAACTCTATGATAATTCTGAGGAAACCAGATAAATCAAACATTGATTTGGGTCATATTTTCTCACAGATATATGTAAGTACATGATGTAATGTTCTGCACTTTATCTTCTCACACAGGAGGATAATTTTTTACCAATGAAAATTCAAGGGCTACATTAATTTTCTTGCTTTATTTGAAACCTCTATACTGAGTCATCACCAATTTTCTGCAGTTGTTTACTGCTCAAACTCTACATATCTTTGTTTATCAACAACTTTGCATGTGATTGGATGATTCTCCCATGTTACTTTTGTTGACTTGAAGAAATTCTGCATCTCTACAAGGTTTACAAATTGATTTTGTAAAATGAGTTACTATTATTATTATTATTAATTTGAAATATAATTAGATTAGAAATTTTTAAATCATCTGAAAATGTATAAGGGAATAAAAAATGACTTAACAGTAGGAAAGGATATATGTTAATTTAAATAGGAAAGGATATATGCTAATGTAAATAGGCTGGTAGGTCATTTTACAAATGATCAGTTTATTAGTCAATACTTTTCCTGCTTTGCTTATAGACTACATTTTCTTATATTATTCCTGTAACAGTGAGGCCTTCTACACCATGAATTTTACATTCATCCTTTATTGTTACACACTTAGTTACATATATTATAAAATTCATTTTTGCTATTTTACAAGATACCCATTTTAGGCTAAAAAAATAGATATTAGACTAAATTCTTATAAATAAAGGAACTCTACGATTCCTTTCTAATAGGAAACAGAATGCAATGTAAATTCATCTTTATTTTATTATAATTTTTAAAAATAGTATATAAATGAGTACATTTTTTTGAGGATCTTAGTGCCTATATTCCCAACTCATATGGATCTGTTTTATAGTGCTGATCTTCTTTGATAATTTAGCTCACCTATCAAATATGTCTTTAGTTACCTATTTCACGAATTTAGCTACACAGAAATCTACATTTTTGCCTTAGAATCTATAAGTATGTGTAGAGCCTGCCTAGTCTGAAATGTCATGTCCTCACAAAGAATTTCCTTGACCACCATATTTCAATTGATATAATCTTGTCACTATCTCTGCACCCTGTTTCCTTTGTTTCAGTTATTGCAATTTGCAAATGTATTTGATTTTGCCACTTGTTTAGTGTGTGTTTTTCCACTAGTCTGCAGACAACATGGGGGCAGAGAGTATGTCTGTTTTACTCACCAATACATTCCCTGAACATAGCACAGTGACTTGAACATGGCAGGCACATAAGAAAGTGTTAAATAATGACTGGATGAATGACTGGCGAATGATTGCATGAACTGAAAACTAGACACAATGTAATACATTGATTGGATTGTTTTCTTTGAGAGTTATTTTTAAAGATGCTCTTATTTTGTCATAAAGACTAAATCATCTTCTATTCTAATGAGGTATAACTGTTTAGTCCAGTCCCTGAAATTAGTTGGAGGAGATTGGATGGAAGCCCATTGCCAGGGAAAATCAAGTACAGCAAATCCCAAGCTATCCTTGAAATCCCGAACTTTCAGCAAGAAGATGAAGGCTTCTATGAGTGCATTGCAGGCAACCTTCGAGGAAGAAACCTTGCAAAGGGTCAACTCATTTTCTATGGTGAGCTAATATAATTTCAAAAAATATTTGGTAATACCCTTCACAGCAAATAGTGAAAGTCATTAGTATGTTGTGGAAAAGTGTCATGGGAGAAATAGGGAAGACACATTTCCAGGTTAGACTGCCTAATGCTATGATTAGTGAGTGGGAACGACCATCTTTAAAATACAGCTTTAATTTCAGCATGGTCTATGCATGTTATTGTTTATTATAATTGCCTTGAAAATATCAGCAGTGTCATGTTAAAGCCATAAAGGTTCGTGATACAAGGTAGCATGGACTTCAATATATTTCCCATAAAACATTCAGCAGCAGCCTATGGCAATCTTATAATTATGAGTAGAATTTACAAATAAAGGAGAAAAATGATAGGAAAAACATAATATTGTGTGGTAGTTTACAGTATTTATTTCTATTTCCCAGGATTTTCATCTACCCATATATAGGTAATAGAAAAATAAGTTTATCTTGTCATTAAAAAAATGTTTGCCTCAGTTACCAGACTCTCTCATGAACTTAAAAGAGATGAACACACTTATTATATAAAACTTGTCTTTATGACTTCTTTCATGCAGTCCAAACTACAAACTTGGATGAAATTCCCACCCCCCCTTTTTTTTACATCAAATAAACCATAAACTATACTTCAGAATTATCAAAATGTTGAGTGCTTTTCAAATATCCTTAACTTCTTTGGTAAATTCAATATATCTGCGGTAGAGAACGTTTTAACACCATATTTATACATGGCTGAATATACTTTTCTATGTGACATGTTTATATGTCATATGTTTACAATCGATGATGAAGTAATTAGAGAATTAATAACTTCTTGGGATAATCTGAAAAGTCTAGAGTATTGTAATTACCTCCTAGAAACACTGATTGAATGTCCTGTGGGTAGAACATGTTGTTCTTTGGTTATATTATTTTTAATTTCCTTTAAAATTTCCAATTTTAACTTGGAATGAAGAATACTATTTCATATATAGAATATGATATCCTACTCACTATTCCCCTACAGTTTCAGCAATGCTAGCCAAGAAAAAAAAATATTCTTTTTAATCGTACCTATTTCTTAAAGGAAAAAGTTTTTGGAATTTTACATCCTTTGCAAATAAAATAGTAAGAACACAATTGGGAGTTTGTAGTAGAACTAAGATATTAAAGGCTTAGACTAGTTTTTAATAGATATTTCCCATTTTTCTATTTAATAGACAAAGATATAATCAAGAAATGAACCAGACCACAAAGATATCTATAAAATGTAAATAAATAAAAAAGTACTTTCATTTACATTGATAAAGCAACTATTAGCTTAAATAGAAATTTTGAAAATGCAAATTTATATAATTCTTACAATAATCTTAAGAGGTAGAAATAATTTTCAGTGATATTCTAGGCAAGAAACATTAAATGGATTGAGCAAAAGCTCATAGTTAATGGTTATTGGATCCAAGATCTGAACCTTATAGAGTCTTCTATCTTGTGGAGGTGGTTGCTGCAATGGGAGAACCCTGGACATCAGACAGATGGTTTTTACATTGAACACTATTTCAAATCTTCTTGTTCTTACTTCTAACTCTAACCACTGCTAAAGTGACCAGTTCAGCACTATGTTTCGTAGGTGTAACCTGAAAGAGTCTTGTCACAGGTGCCACACCAAGTAAATCTTGTTTCCTGCTCAGGGTTTTTTCTTTGGACCCTTCAAGAGCCTACTCAACACTTAAGCATGTACATCCATGGTGTGTTAGTAGTTTATCCCTGCACTACCCTTAGATGACTGTGGATAGGAACTGTGGATGAGAACCAATGAATAAATACTTCCTCTTTCTTTCTTGGTAGACAGTTTATAAAGACTCCTTAGAAGTATACATGAGGTGGAGTAAAAATGATCCATGTTGGTAGCCAACTCAATAACTCATCCTTGTGTTAACATTCTTTCTTTCCCTGTTGACTGTTCCTTGTTTGATACCCTGCTCATAGGCTAGCATTCTCATATGAACACCCTGAACACAAGCCCTTCACTGAGGCTCTGTTTTCAGGGCTCAGATTTTGGCTTTTCTGTTCTCTATGTTGTCTTGAGCAAGTTACCTAACATCTCTGTGAAAATCCACTCCAAAGGCTTGTAGGGAGAATTAAGTGCCATTACACATGTAAAACATCTCTTTATCATAGCCTGAGATCCCAAGGGAAGGCTCATACATTCCTACATATCCAAGGACAGAACTAAATACAGGAGAGAGATTAATTGGCAGATTCAGTCAGTTTCCAATCATCTTTACAGAAGAAATACTATTTTTAAAACATTGAATTTATAACCCTCCTGTTTCCATGAATGATAGTGAGGATAATACCACCTTACCTTCACACCAATTATACCAGGTGGTTTTTGCCTCAGTACTATGAAGAACTTTCTCAGATTAGAATATAAGTTTTTGGAGCCTGCCCGGTGGCGCACTGCTACAGTGCACCGCTTGGGAGCGTGGTGGCGCTCCCGCCGAGGGTTCGGATCCCACATACAGACCGGTTCCCGCTCACTGGCTGAGCGAGGTGCGGGTGCAACACCGAGGGTTGCAATCCATTGCTGGACACGAAAAAAGACAAAAAGGAAAAAAAAAAAAAGAATATAAGCTTTTGAAAAACTTATGCTGTAGCACTACACCTGTATACAACTCCAAAAGTTTTCATTCCCTGTCAAGAATTTTACTTAGAAAAAAAAAGAAAAAAATTGGACCATCATCTCACCAAAATGTGATAAGGCTCATATTTGGTTTATGCTTCAAGCTATTGAGTTGAAATTGTGTCTGATATAGGCACACTTACTTTAAGTTAGTTTAGGCCAAAATAGTCAGCAAACTTTTGCCCGCAGAGGTTTCAGATTTGGTACACATTTTCTAACTTGACCTAGGTAATAATATTTAGCATGGAATTATTCTTTGGCACTGTTCTACATTTTGACCTTTTTCTACAACTCCCAAGTTGTTATACAGGTGCAGCAAAATGACAGATGACAAATATTTAACTTGAGCCAAATGCCCAATGATGTTTGCATCAGGATTTGTGTCACCCCACATTGAAGCTCCTGCATTTTCCTTCCATCAAATCATGTGTGTGCAGTCCAACTGGACCCTGTTGGCCTTGGCCTTCTGATTTCTACAGCTCTTGGAATGTAGCATAATGTTTTGGATTATTGCCTTGCCAAACAATTGCTCTTGCCTTTTTTGAAACAGCCCCTCCAGAATGGGAACAGAAAATCCAAAATACATACCTCTCTATCTATGACAGCTTGTTTTGGGAATGCAAAGCTAGTGGAAAGCCAAACCCTTGGTACACCTGGTTAAAGAATGGTGAACGCCTCAACCCAGAGGTAAGCAACTATGCTAATATTAAAAATTCACCTACTCTGCTAGGTCAATTTTGTTACTGATAATAATGGTAACTAACAGTAACAGATATTGATTATGGAGTGTTTAATATGTTCCAGGAAAGGAAGTATAACTGATTTATTTAATCTTTAAACGAATTCACAAGGTGGCTATTAATATTATCTCCATTTTTCAAATGAGAAAAATAAGGGCAGAGAAGACAAATAGCTTGCACAAGGTCACAGAGCTAGTCAATGACAGGTCTACATTCAAATATCAGTATCATGATCATCATAGCTAACATTTACAGAACTCTCACATGAGCCAGCCCCTGTGTTAAATATTTTTCCATGTATTATCTTATTTGTATCCTCATGACAACCTTATTATAGAGTTACAATTATTATTCCTTTACATAGATGAAGAAAACGAGTTTCAGAGAGTTTAAGCCACTTGTCCAAGATCACATAGCAGCTAGTAAATTTTAGAATTAGCCTTCTAAACTTTGTTTAATACCAGGACCCAAGCTCTTAGTCACTAATCAGTATATTGCTTTTATAAAACTGATGACTGGCTCTAAACCCATAGGAAAGTGAACTGAGACAGTTATCCACATTTTTTCAATCTAATACATACTTTCTTCTACAATATCCAGAAAATGAGACAGAGGGTTTTTTTTGCCATAAAATAATCCAGATAATTGTGTTAATTCTCCATTTTACTTTGCACATGTAGGCATAGCCAGAGACACAAAGAACATCTGTTGTTTGCAAGCTGAACATAATGCTGTTCTTTGTTTCAGCTTAAGTGGAATTTTCCTCCTGTATGCCTTTTGCATATAACATTTTCTGTTTTCTCCAGCCTACTTTCGTTATCCTTGGAGGACAGTAATAGGTACCTTGAAATATTTAGTTTTAAGTTTCATTTGTAGTATTAACTATTACATTATGCGCATTCAGAATTGTATTTCTGTACCCCAAATGGGACTCTCTAACAGATTTTGGCTATTTAAGCATGCTTTATATTAGGCTGCAGGAAGAAAGGATCTAGCTCTCTTCCAATTTCAGACTCAATTAGAAAACTATCACATTATCACATTTCAAGTCTTTTTCAGACCTTGCAATGGAAAGCCAAAGCAATATTCTAATCATGATATTTGCATCTAATATTATTGTCAGCCATGTTTTGGGGTATAATCAGGATGGTGAATTGTTCCAACCTATTTCATATATCATATAACAGCAAGTTAACTTGCAGTATATGCAAAGAATGCCAATTTTCAAAGAAATAAGAGAACTTAAAATATAATAATCACTAAAATTATAATAAGGATATTAACATTTTTTTTAAACTTCAGAAAGCTGCTCAGAATCTTGCAGTATATTAATACACCAAAGCACCAAATCTCGTAGATATGCAGAAATGTTTTTAATAGTATTCTGGGTAAGAGAATGCTTGCATTAACATACCAGCATCTTTATATGCCTTTTCATTTATTAGGAGAGAATTCAAATAGAAAATGGGACACTAATCATAATGATGCTGAATGTGTCAGATTCTGGGGTCTACCAGTGTGCTGCAGAAAACAAATATCAGATAATTTATGCAAATGCAGAATTGAGAGTTTTAGGTAAGTCATTCATTTATGACCAAAAATTGAAAATGACATTTTAGCAAGCTATGAGTACACATATTCTGAACCCAATATTTCTGCAAACAAGAAATTTATCTTCCTTGAAATAGTGGCAAATGCCTAAATTGGCTTTTTATAAAAATCCAATTTTTATTAAAAAAAATTTTTTTCACTGAGAAAAATAAAAAGCCAAATTTTGAAAGATGCAGTGATACTTGAAATAGTGGCAAATGCCTAAATTGGCTTTTTATAAAAATCCAATTTTTATTAAAAAAATTTTTTTTCACTGAGAAAAATAAAAAGCCAAATTTTGAAAGATGCAGTGATACTTATGATCAAGAATTGAGTGGTTGCTATCAGAACACATGGCAAGTTTAACATAACATAAATTGAGGAATTCCCTTTGAGCTGAAATCAGAAGAAAAAGTAAACACAGGTCAGGTGAAGGACAGAGAAGCAACATCTGAAAAGTCCAGAAGCAAGAGAACATGGTGTATGTGAAAGAAGTTCAATTCACTTGAACTTTAAACTAGAATTGGAGATTGGACACATGGATTCCAACATTCATGAAATTGGAAAGGATTAGAGGCACTCCAGGCAGTCTAATAATTCCTCACCCTCATGAAGTAGAATTTGTTTAACATCTATTTAGTGGGGACAAAGCTGGGACTGACAAAGATTTTTTTTTTTCAAATTTCTGTTCAACCCATCTTCCTCTAGAGAGTACAGACTGTTTACATTTTGCTAGTTAATGGTTGCCTGAAGAAATCTGACTAGTGATATAGTATTTCTGATTTATTTCTGTGGTATTTCATTGCTCTTTATATATATTTAAATTTAGGATCATTATCTTGGCTGCAATAGATTTCATGATTTTTCTAATCAGGGCTAAAAGTCCCTCTTCTGTCTCCTATGGAATCATCTTCACCCCCTTATTGTAAATGCTGTTAGAATGTGACTGTTTCCAACTTGCTTCCTCCCTACCAACTTGCTTTTGTTATTGCAATGAACACCACCAATGCAAAAATAAATTACACTTACGCAGCACATACTTTGGGCCAGGAACTATGGGGCTCTACAACTGTTATTTAATCCCCACACCAACTTCCTGAGGTAATATCTACCACCGTCTTAATTTTGCAAATGGAAACAGAGACTCCAAATTGATAAGTCAGTAACCAGCCCCATAGCATTTTGAGCAAAGTAGCTTAAAAAAGAATTTTGGCTACAAATATTAGATTCTATCTAGTGCACCAAGTTATCTCTTGGGTCACTACATGTTAATTGAGTAATTTAATAATTTTGTTTTTAGCCTCAGCTCCTGATTTCTCCAAAAATCCCATTAAAAAATATTCAGTTATCCAAGTTGGTGGGAATGTTGCTATCGAATGCAAACCAGTTGCTTTTCCCAGGGCAGCTATCTCCTGGAAAAGAGGAATGGAGAGCTTGAGACAAAATAAAAGGTAAACCAACTTTATTTTTATATATATTTTTAAATATTTTGTAATATAACATCTTTACCATTTTCTAGGTCTTCCCAAATTCCCTCCTTTATGATGAACTTTCAAAGGCATATCCAGAGATGCCAACATTTTTCCCATGATAGTAAAAACAAAAGGATCTTATAAAGCTAAGACTTATTTGTATAATTTGGCTGCAATATCTTCAGTGCATGCACTTATAATAGATATATTTTTTAAAATCCTTTAAGAACTTTCTCTATATTCAGTTTGAAGGCTTTTCCCCAAGTCAGCCTGCTGAGATATCAGTGAGAAGAACATTGCACAAAGGAGAGAGACACTCATACACACACACCTGGTGTTGTGGTTTTTAAATAGTCACGCAGGTGTTCACCCCATGACAAAATGAATTCACCACGTGAAAAAATGTAGAGAGGTTCCCGTAGAGAAAGAAGAGAGGTTTCCTTCCATAATGGATGCAGTTGGGAAATCCTAGATCAGCACTGGCATGTTTTCCAGGAGAGTTTGACAGAAAAAAACAGGTGTTTTTCTCTGCTTATAATACATTTCATTCCACTATGCTGTAGAACCTTGTATACAAAAGGGACAACTAGACCACAGATGCAGCTCTCTTTTAATGACATGTATGTTACTATGTGACCAAATACACAGTGAAATCCTGCTATGTATGGGCCATTGTGCTAATGATATGGAAATTGCCCCTTTAGTTCATTGAGCTCTTCTTCAACATCACATGTGCCATGAACTCATATGCATACTAGGGGCTATGGTTTGAATGTCCCCCAAGCTCATGTTGGCACTTAATGCTAATATGGTATTTAAGAGATGAGGCCTTTAAGAGGTGATGGGACCATCAGGGCTATGCCCTTATAAATGGATTAACCCATTCATGGAATAATGAGTTAACAAATGAGTGGTTTATCACAGGAGTGGCACTGATGGCTTTATAAGGCAAAGAAGCAGCACAGTAGTGCACTGTCTTGCTCTAGCCCCCCTCACCAGGTGATACCCTGCACTGCCTTGGGATTTTGCTGAGAGCCTCTGGCTTTATAAGGCAAAGAAGCAGCACAGTAGTGCACTGTCTTGCTCTAGCCCCCCTCACCATGTGATACCCTGAACTGCCTTGGGATTTTGCTGAGAGCCTGCACCAAAAGAAAACCCTCACCAGATGTGTCCCCTGGACCTCCGATTTTTGGGCTTCCAAAACTGTAAGAAATAAATTTCACTTCGTTATACATGACTCAGTATCAGGTTTTCTGTTACGAGCAACAGAAAACTGACTAATATACCAGGCCAGGCAGGTGAATTGCCAGATGAAAGAAAGGACAACTACAGAGTGATGAAAATGGCAATCATCAGTCTTGGAAGAAGTGACTGTGAAAGACTGGAGCATGAGTTCCACACTTAAAAGGGACAATTACATCTCCGAATTCTGTCAACTATTATTTTGTGGGAAGATACATCCAGTGTTGTAGAACTTCCAAAATTTCAGGAAAAGCTAGAAACCTGGATTTTGGCATTGCATCTCCAAGCCAGAAAAAAAATGCCCATAGACTGGCTGCAGGGACATCATTTTGTCATTTCAAATCCCAAAATTGCACTTGTGGCCAAGGAAGAGAGAAAAAGGGGTTAGATCAAATAAACTGAAAACGGGGACCTGTATTGGTTATAAGTACTATCGTGGTTCTATCTGCAGCTTTGCAGACTCTCTCCATGAATGTGATGAGATACACAAGAGAGAGCCTTTTCTAGGGCATTCTTTCTTTTTTTATTCTCTCTTGTCTCCAAATGTCTTTTTATCCCTGGACCAAAGCTTTTCTCAGGACAGGAGTTCTATCTGTTTTATTTTTCTATGCCCTGTGCCTTGGCACAGAACAAAAACTCAATAAACATCTGTAGAATGAATGAAGGAGTCAAAAAGGATAAATACACAAGGTGTTAACAGCTTTACAGACTATTCTTGGGGAACTGCCTCAAGACTTAAGAACAAATGCTTCAAAATGAATAAGAAAAGAAAGGTGAAGTGAAACCTGTTGCTCTGGCCCTTTCCTCTGTGTACACTGCTTTGGAGATTGCTGCAGGTACTCTCAACAGATTTGGATGTGGGTTCTTTTTAAATGTTCCCTCTTTCATTTCTAAAATCTAATCAAGGTTTAAATACACTGCTGTGAAACAAGAAAACTCAAGAGATACTGCAGTATCAAACACGACACTGTGTGAAGGGTCTGGATAAATTGATTAGCTCTGCCTCATTCAATAAAGTGACTCTGAAGTTCTAACCTGAGGAGCAGAAATGACTGCCATTTACTTTTTGTAACCTTTAAAGACCAAAACACAAGGTTTGTGGGGAGGAGAAAGAAAAGGAACAGGATTTGGGTAAAGGTAAGAAAATGAGGGGAATAAATGTGAAGAGCACAAGAGCAAAAGGTAAACTGCTTTTTAAAACAACTTTTCAGGGATTCGTCTTGTTTTATTTTGTTTTGCCCATATAGAATGAATTGGAGATCTTTTTAGCCTCAGAACAGTTACTAGTAGTCATATCAGACTCAACATTGTCTTGTTTTGATGAAAGGACTTATCCCTGTGATTTCTATTTACAGATTATTCTTCCGTAATTCTATCCTCTCATTGCTTTAGGAATTCGTTAGAGGTTTTAACAAAAAGAAAAACAAGCAAATCATCTTCTGAATGTGCATCCTAAAAAAAATGATTCAGGGCAAATCATTTGTCTTCTATAGACCTCCATTTGTAAAATGGATTTGAAGCATTTAATTTTCTTATAAGAGGAAAGAGAGTCAAATGGTCTCTTGTAAACAAAATGCACTGGAAAAGAATTTGGAGAAAAAGGGAGACTTTATTTGGCAAACAATTTGCAAACCAGGGAAACACATCCTTCAGTAAAAACAAAATTGTGCTCCACCAGAACAACAAGAGAGACCGTTGAATATAGCAAACGTTCCCACTCAGGTTACCACTGAGGTCCTCTGTGCAAAGAGGGATTCAGGTTTGTTTAGTCCTGATTGGTTTGGCGTGTTACACAAAAGAGGGTTTCTGACTTGCTAAATTCTGGCCAGTTAACACTTGACAGGTCGTAGTCCATTGGTTAAGTTCAGGGGGCAGTGGTTGATAAGCAGCATAAAAAGGGACAGGTAGCGATCCCAAACATGGTATGTGTGCAGCATTTTTTGTGTTGCTATTTTAGAAGCCAGGGACAGAGGGTTGGGTATAGAGGTTGACTGGAAAATTAATTTTTAGATTTGATTGCACAATGCAAGGTTTATGTATTTATTTATTTATTTTGGCAGCTGGCTGATAAGGGGATCCAAACCTTTGACTTTGGTGTTATCAGCACCACACTTTAACCAACTGAATTAATTGGCCAGCCCAACTCTGTTCAATGTTGTATTTGAAAGGATCATTAGCAGTGATCTAGCCCATTTTCCAAATTTGGTAGGACCTGATCCTATACTCAAACACAAAACACTAAGTCCCAGTACACATTTTTTTATGCCACACCAGACTGATTATTTCACTTAAATAGCTACATACTCATATATGCAACTCCAGCCATCTCATACCTCTGTTAACTCATGACACAATTGTACATGTAGGAAGAATAAAAAACTCAGATACAGCAAAAGTTTAAATTTTTACAATTCCAAGTAGAAATAGTTGTTCGTTCTTGACCTTGGAAATACTTGTGTGGGGAAATGTACATTTTTAGTCTCTGTTATAAAACTTCTATATGGTACTCTCTACTTAGAAATTTCACTGTCACTAACTCTTGCTGCCAATAAAGTATAACTACCCAGAGATGGTTGAGAGGGCTCTAAAGAAGCCTATTCAAAGTAATCATAGTGTATAGTCTACCCATAAAAAACGGCGTCCATATATATATTTTGACAATTTCTTCCAGTCTTACATGAATCAAGACAGCTTCTATTACATAGCTAGTAAGTGATGAAGCGTAGATGTGACGCCAAGTCTCCCATCTCTGTATCCACGTCTTTTCCTCTCTAGGAATAATGGAGGATATACACGACTTCAGTTTTTGAAGGGCTGTTGTTACATGATTTAACCTAACGTTATTTGGTGGTATAAGCAACATTTCTTAAGCAGATTAACATGTTTCTAATTAGGCTATGTGCAATAGAAGTCTTGACTATTTTAAGAGTTCTGTCTTTGGAGCAAGTGTCTATATTCATGGCAGACTGTTAGAACACAAAAGTTTTCATGGCACTAAAAATTGGTATATGTCATTATGGAGTCCAAAGGCTGCCTGGTTTCCTGTTAGGAATCAATGATCATGCAACATCTATCTCATTCTTTTTGGAGCTACCAGTGGTTTAGAAATAGCACTTAAATAGAAGAGAAGCAAAAGGTACATTCCTGTGGGAGAAACCAGGATGTATTACAAAGAGCCCTGCATTGAGAATTGGAACACAGGGGTTCAGGTTTCAGTTCTATCACTGAGAGTAGCATAATGATGGGCAAAACTACTAGGATTTTTTTTATTTTTTCCTTTATTTTAAGATGAAATAATATGAAAACAACTTCAAGAAAAATTAAATACTTTATCCATGCATAGAGATTACATATTAGAAATCAATAGAAAATATTAGCCTGGCAGATTTAAATTGTATGTTCTATCTTAGTTATAACTTTTTATATATTTTAATCATTTGCTCAGGTGAGTAACTAAGTTACTGAGCCAAACATGATGATTGCTATGAATGTAAAAACAGCTAAAATAATATGGTTGGAGAAATCTAGAGGTTACACAGAGCCCTAACAGCTAGACTGTAAGCTTCATGAAGGCAGTGAGCAGCACTCTTTAATTCATTATTATAGGCCTAGCACCCAGCACAAACCTGGAAAAAAATACACATTCAGTAAATATTTTTTGTGTTGCTATTTTTTTAAAGCTTGCTTTACTGCCACCTTTAGAGCTCTTGCAGTTAAAGCAAAAATTTTAATTATTA